TATATTTATGATTGTCATCTCTTCCTCTTGGATTGTTCCCTTCACAAGGATGTAGTGACCATCTTTGTTTCCCTTAATTAGTTTTGGTTTGAAATCTGTTTGTCTGCAAATAAGATTGCTACCCCTGCTTTTTTCTGGGTTCCTGTGGCATGAAGAACTGTTTTCCATCCTTTTACTTTCAGACTATGAATTTCTTTTTGAGTTAGGTGTGCTTCTTGTACACAGCATATTGGTGGAATTTGCTTCTTAATCCATTCTGTCAGTCTACTTCTTTTGATTGGTGAATTGAGGCCATTAACATTGATAGTTATAATTGATAGATATTGACTCATCCTTGTCGTGATGTTTTACTGTTGTTGGCTCTCTTATTTCTTATTTTTTCCCCCTTTCCCTTTAATTTCTTACCTTGCCTGGTGGCTTCCCTCTGTTGGGCCTCATGGAGTTGTAACCTTCATTGTCTTTTTCTAGGATATTGCTTAGAATTGTTTGGAGTGCTGGTTTGATGTTCATGAAATTTCTCAGGTGTTCTTTGTCATGGAAGTATCTAATTTCCCCATCAGTTTTGAAAGATAATTTTGCAGGATACAACAGTCTATATTGGAAGTTATTTTCTTTTAGGGCTTGAAATGCTTCGCTCCAGGCTCTCCTTGATTTGAGGGTTTGTGTTGAGAAGTCTGCCATGATTCTGATGGGCTTTCCTTTGTAGCTGATTTGTTTATTTTCTCTAACTGCCTGTAGGATTTTGTTCTTCTGTTGGGTTTCTGGGATCTTGACTATTATATGTCTAGGTGTAGATTGTTTTTTGATAATGGTTAGTTGGAGTTCTATATGCCTCACTTATCTGTATGGCCAATTCTCCACCTCTGTCTGGGAAGTTTTCTACTATTACTTCTGTGAACAGTTTTTTTTATATCAATTGTACTTTCTCCTGTTTTTTTTGTGGACTCCTATCAGTCTTATGTTATTCTTCTTTGCATCACCTAGTAGCTGCTGGATTGATTTCTCATGGTCCCTTACCTTTTTTAAGAAATCTCTGTTTTCATGGTCCTTAACCACAATCCTGTCTTCTGTATCTGATATTCTATCTTCAGATTCCCTTAATCTGCTATGCATGCTTTCAGTGGAGTTTTTAATCTCCTGAATATCTGTTTAAATCTGTTTCATGGATTCCATTTCTTTCTTATGTTGGGCCATCATGGTTTTCAGTTCTTTCTTATGCTGGGCATTCATGACTTCCAGTATGTTTCTGACCTCATCTATTTTTTTATCTTTTCTGTTCTAGAGCCTCTAATCATGTCTTTCACTC